TATTAACCAAATCCCAAGTACCAAATTATTGGATCCTTGGACCCTTAAATTCTTAAAGGCCAAAGTTTATCCCATATGGCTTCCTGGAGCCTTGGAGTCAATGCCCTGTTGTGTGGGTGAGCCCCGCCCTAAGCTCGAAGTCCTAAACCCTAGCCTTACGGTGGTTAGCAGGAAAAAGGAGATATACTCAATAGGGATTACATAGGGAGTATATTCCCTTACTCCCTACTAAGAACCAGTAAGTAGATGCCCTAAATCCTGAACCCTTAAACCCTAAACCCTGAGCCTAGAAGCCTGCGTCTGCTGTGCCGCGACACCGCTGGCTGCGCGGAGGGAAGCCGGAGCAGAGACCTCAGCCGTGCGCGGCACGGCAAAGGCTGATAGCTGGCTGGAGGCTGCCTGGATCATGCACTTGGGGGTTTAGGGTTTATAGTCTTCCTTTAGATAGATTATGGGGTATATGGGGACTTTACTATAACATGCCAAAAGCCATATTCTATCTACTTAAGGGGGATTATAAGGGTTTTTAGGGCTTATGGGGATTGGACTTTGGGGTTTAGGACTTCAGGCTTGGGATTTTAAGGCTGCAAGGCTTTAGGGCTATGCAGGAGGAGTGGGGCAATATATTCCTGTGCTGTTGCCCATGTATAGTCCCCCTTAAGTAGATAGAATACGGGGTAAATGGGGATCTTATTATAATGTACCCAAAACCATATTCTATCTACTCAAGGGGACTATATCCCAAACAATCTGTTACGGAGCGCTCATACTCTACTAGCTAGGCACCGGTGAGATTTTGTAGGTTTTCGGGGTTCTCTAAACCCTAAACCCTAAACCCTAAACCCCAAACCCTAAACCCTAAACCCTTAAGCGGCCCAAGGCTACGATTGGAACCACAGTAAAGCAAGCGGTGTCATTGCTTGATCCGACATCTGATTCGATCTAAAGCTCGAAATCCTCTGACCCTAGAACCCGAATCCTAAACCCCCCTCAAAGCTTAAACTCTCCAACCGCGTGGCCAGGGCAGTGACACCAGCAGCTGCCACTACAGCCTTGCCACAGCCCCTCGAGTGGCTCCTTTTTGTTTCGTGCATTTTGCGTTTATGGTTTAGGGATTAGGGTTTAGGTTTAGGGCTTTGTTGGAAGATGCAATGAAGCCAACAATGTTCGCTTTTGTATAAAAGAAACGAAAAACTATGGCCAACAATCTATTTGAGGTACCCCGACTGCATGTATATAATGAACCTAGGGCTATACTACCCCTAGACCCAAAGCGCCTAATCCGTATTTCCCGATCACTAAACCCCACCCTGAACTGAACCCTAAAAACCCTAAACCTCAAACACAAACCCTAAACCCAAGATCCCAAACCGCAGATTCGCTCACCCTGCATTGCCCTACACTTGAAGACAAGCATTGCAATTTCTACCCAGGGTGCATGGCGGAGAGAGGTGAACCAGCAGCAAAATCGATGGCAGCTTGGGCCAGCAAAGCAGCTCAAGGACACCAACCGTGGGGCTTGGAGTTTAGGGTTCAAGGATTAGGGTTCAGGAAGGCCCAGGGGACTTAGTAAGTAGGCTATGCACGAGGTTATGTAAGTGGGTATAAGTACCCTCATTAGGGCTGGCGTATATATATATATATATGGTACCCCCCCCCATGGATCCACCGATTTTGTGCGCTGAAAGGCTTATTTGGCTTTACGAGCGTCACACAGCCAGCAAACAATCGGTGGATCCATGGAGGGGGGTTTCATAGCAATAGGGCGGAGAG